ACTTCTTAACAGTTTTTCAGAAGGGGATAAAGGCTTTCGGGACTTTTGGCAAATAATCCTATATTTAAAAATCATCATTTCAAGATTTTAGTTAGTCAATTGCTTTTTCTCTGCTGTTTTATAATTATTTTATGATTTATGGTTGTGGGTTGCTGGAAATCTCAAAAGAAGGGGGTCAACTTTGACAGAGGCTGGTTTGTAAATTGTAAATTTAATGAATTTATATGCCTCCCAATCCCGAAGGACTCCGGGCGGCTTACAAAATACAACACTAAAAGATAAAAACGTAAAAATAGGGAAAGAGAAAACAGATTAAAAAGCAGCACATAGGTGGGGCTGGACCACATTCATGAGGTCAACAGCCCCAGGCCTGCCGGAATAGCCAGGTTTTAGTGGCCTTTCGGAAGGCCGAGAGAGTGGGANCCTATGAAGCGGTATATAAGTCTACTGCTATTGCTAATACAATTACCAATTGTATTACTTGCAGATTTTTATTTCTCTATATAGGTTTCTAAGTAAATTACACACTTATTTCATTACCTTATAAAAGTAAAGTTGCATGACCTTGACTACCAGCAAGAATAATGATTATCTATAGGGAGTGCATATGGAAATGTGATTCATAAGCATTATGTTTCTTCTTTGCACAGGGAATATTATCCTAGGATAGACACACATGCAGAATATACATGATCAAGTCTAAAATGCTAACAGTCTTGACTATTAGTATAAATTAGAAAAGAGAACAAAAACCAGACTATAAGAAAAGCACTAACAAAATATAGCTATTTAAGAAAAACTAATTGATAGCATGCATTCTGATATAAATGACTTGTGAAAAGCACAGATAAAAATTCATAAAACACTTGTACCCAGTATTAGAAATAATATAACAATTTTGGAACTTTATGTTTTATCATTGATATTTTGTATTCCAGTTCCTTGCATGCCTTCTCAATATTCATACTATTTGGATCTGAGTAGTCATAAATTATGAATACTATACTCTCAAAAATATGTACACTATGAGATATTTAAGTTCAAATGTAACAGATTCCCTGGCTACAAGTATTTTTGTGACTCATCAATCCAGATGTTTAGAACTAGCCAATTTTTTAACAAACTATAATTCCAAAATTCAGAAAGGCCTTACTAAATATCGGCATCCTTCAGTCTCAAAAGTCTATGGTATCGTGCTCTGGAAAGAGGTCCTAAAGCAGCATCTGGTGTGGCTAAAAAGTCCAATTTGGGAGTGGTAATCCCTTCCCTTTCGCTGGATCCGGGACTGCCTCTTTGCCTCAGCCTGCCGAACAAGTGTCTCTTCAAATTGGAGAAGGACATGCTGTGTCTTTAGCCTCCAAGTTGAACGATCAGAGGTCAAGTTTTCCCAGCTGTTAATGTCCATCCCTAAGGCCTTTAGATTCCTTTTGCAGATATCCTTATATCACAGCTGTGGTCTCCCTCTGGAGTGCTTTCCCTGCACTAATTCTCCATAAAGGAGATCTTTTGGAATCCGACCATCAGACATTCTCATGACATGCCCAAGCCAGCATAGACATCGCTGTTTCAATAGTGTATACATGCTAGAAATTCCAACATATTCCAATACTGCACTATTTGGAACTTTGTCATACCAGGTGATGCCAAGGATATGTCAGAGACAGCGCATATGAAAGGTATTCAACTTTCTCTCCTGCCATACATAAACGGTACAAGACTCACTACAGTACATGAGTGTGCTCAGGACGCAGGCCCTATAGATCTGGATCTTTGTATGTTCTGTCAGCTTCCTATTAAGCCATACTCTCTTTGTAAGTTTGGAAAATGTGGTGGCCGCTTTACCAATGAGTTTATTCAGCTCCGTATCTAAAGAGAGAGTGTTGGAGATGGTTGAGCCGAGGTACACAAAGTTATGGACGACCCCCAGTTCTTGTGCAAAGATTGTAATACAGGGAGGTGAATCCACATCCTGACCCATGACTTGTGTTTTTTTTCAGGCTGATTGTTAGCCCATTGTCTTGGCTGGCCTTGCTAAAACAGTCCATAAGTTTTTGAAGGTCTTCGGCAGAGTGAAGAGGAAATCCCGTAAGCATTTCAGATGGACTTTAGACTTTGCTCTCAATCTACAGAGATTAAACAGTTTTCCGTCTGATCTGGTCCGGAGATAAATACCCCCTGTTGCAGTTCCAAAAGCATGTTTCAGCATGACAGCAAAAAAGATCCTGAATAGAGTTGGTGCGAGGACGCAGCCCTGCTTCACTCCACTTTGAATGTCAAAGGAATCTGATATTAGGCCATCAAAAACTACAGTGCCCTTCATTTCCTCATGAAAGGACCTGATGATGTGGAGCTGTGGTGGACATCCAATCTTGGGGAGAATTTTTTAAAGGCCGTCCCTACTAACTGAATCAAAAGCCTTCGTAAGATCTATGAAGGCTATGAAAAGTGACTGTCTTTGTTCTCTGCATTTCTCCTGCAACTGTCTAAGGGAAAATACCATGTTGGTAGTGGACCTGTTAGCTCAGAATCCACACTGTGATTCTGGATAGACTCTCTCTGCAAGCACCTGGAGCCTCTTCAGTATAACTTGGGCAAGCAGCTTCCCTACAACACTAAGAAGAGAGATGCTGTGGTAGTTATTACAGTCACCCCTGTCACCCTTGTTTTTATACAGTATGACGATATTTGCATCCTTCATGTCCTGCAGTACTCCACCTTCCCTCCAACAAAGACACAAGATTTCCTGCAGTTCTGTGGGGATGTTCTCTTTGCAGCACTTCAGAACTTCGGCAGGGATTTTATCTTTCCCGGGTGCCTTGCTGGAGGCAAGGGAATCCAGGGCTGCATTTAGTTCTTCTAAGGTTGGTTCACTGTCAAGCTCCTCTTAAGTCAGGCAGGCGCTCAATGTTATTGTCAGATCCCTTACGTGATACTGCCATTCAATTGGGAGGACCTGTAACAACTGAGATTTACAACTTTTACAACTGGTTTCCTGTCACCAGAAGACTGGAGGTCCCAACACCCCTGAAGGGTTGTTTATGATTGCCATGGGAATGTGTGTTTTATTCGACTCTCAGGGCAGAAGAGTTAAGGAAACATCTTCACACTTGTGTATTGGTCAGAATCCACATTCTGACAAAGGGGAGGGGTCATTATCAGTTTACTTCCACTTGCATTGCCTAAAGGGTTTCAGATACTGCTTTGCCTCTAATGGTTTCCATCCTGCTTAATTAAAGGTTCCTTTTGAAATAATCTGTTTCAAGGGCCTAACTTTCTTAAGTTAAGAGAGGAGCCATTATATAAAGCAGCATCTCTCTGCAAAGTGGTCAACCAGGAGAGAAACATTTTTACTCTACTGAGTGGACCCAACAAACCATGTCTGAGCATAACAGTGAACAAGGGGAAACTGACTGATGGAGGGAGATGCAAACCCCTCCACAACCAGAGACCTGCTCCTTGTATCCTGGCAGAGAACAAAGTGAGCTTGGATGCTCAAAATCCCAGTTGGTCAATCAGAATTGGGACGAAAGACGGCTGGGAAGGGAAGACTAGGGGAGTCACTCTTACCCGTGGTAGCCGAAAATCAGGGTAGAAATTAGAGTTAGAAGCCCCCTCTGACCAGGAGGAGCTAAATGAAGCTTCACTGAGAGAGGATCCTCTGAAGAGGCATGTAACCCAGTTGATGATGGAGATTTTGTTAAATCTCAACATGCGGGGGGAGCCAGACTGGCAACCGAGAAGCGTTGGAAGGGCGGCAAANTCAATCATGAAAGATAGAACGAGAATGTCGGACAGCTTTGGATACAGAGTTTAAATACAGTTTTGGGGTGACAGCCCACTTCCTTACATGTCCGTGTTACATAAAGTCGTATTATACAACACGTATTATACAATATCTTGGCAACTTAGTTAAGCAGTTTCCGGCCCAAAAATCTCTTTGTAGAAATGCCCCCGATCGCTTCCAACCATATTAGGAATTTATAAGCACAATCAAATCCCCTTATGTCAGCCTCTTGAAACTGATGCCAGTACATTCCTATTAGGCCTCAGTTTGAAGTGGCCTGCTCCTCTTCAATTAATCTCACAGTTCTGATATTCCTCTAAATCAGGGGTGTCCAAACTTGGGAACTTTTAAGACTGGTGGACTTCCACTCCCAGAATTCCCCGGAAAGTCTTAAAGTTTCCAAGTCCGGGACACCCCTGATTTAGAGGAAGTTTGGACACCCCTGTCCTAGAAGAATGAAATATTCTAAAAGGTAAAAGTTCCCCTCGCTCATATGTGCTAGTCGTTCCCGACTCTAGGCGGCGGTGCTCATCTCCGTTTCAAACCCGAAGAGCCAGCCCTGAGAGGGTATAAAACCCAGGTGCTCTCAGCATCTGTCCCCTTTATTTATTTTCTTCTTCACCCAACATCTTCAAGGCATGTGATCCTGTCCACCATAAAAACCATCTTTCAAAAGAGCCTCCATATTTCCAGTGTATTTTCCCCACACTTGGAACTGAACCCAGAAGGGCGTTTCTTCCAACACTGGTTTGTCACTTCTCTGCTTCAAAGCTAAGCTCATCCTTGGAGAGTAAATGAGAAGGACAGAGCAGGGAGTTAGCTACTCCGTAACATCCTTCTGCTCCATAGATAAGGAGGCTGCCTTGGAGAACCAATACACAAGGAGAAGGGGTAACTTTCTTGATGAAAGTTAGCATCTACCCTTCTAGAACGGGGGCATGGCTGGCTGGGGAATTCTGGGAGTTGAAGTCCACCAGTATTAAAAGTTCCCAAGTTTGGACAACCCTGCTCTAAATGTTCCCTCTGTATATGGTCTCATGACCCGACAAATGCGCGCACGACAAAACCGCGAGTCATACACGCGCCCACAACAACGCGCCAACAAAACTGCGCCCACAACAGCGCAATTTCAGTTAAGGTAAGGGTTAGGTTTAGGGTTAGGTTCAGGGATAGGTTTAAGGTTAGGGTTAGGTTTAGAACTCGCAGTTATTACTTGTTTGTTGAAGGTGCGCTTTTGTCGGCACGCTGTTGCCGGTGCGCTTCTTCGCTCATTCGTCAGCGCGATTTAGAACTCGCTGTTTTCTCGGCGCAGTTTCGTCGGCGAGCTTTTGTCGAACGCGCATTTGTCGGTGAACCATATGGTCTTAACCGAATGTGTTACAAAAGCTGCTTGTGTTATGTAAAGTCTAAAAATGGAGTCGCTCAAGTCCTGCTCTTTTACACGAATAACCTTACTTCTCTCAATTAAAGATAGACTACAGGAAGTCCTCGACATATGACCCTGATGGATAGGCTGAGTTCTGAGAGTTCACAAGTCTTAAAGCTAACGTTTTTGGAGATCCCTGCGCTAGACTTTCACCTCTCCAATTCAGACATCCCCACCCCCACCCCGCAGCCTATCCTAACCACATCCTTCCTTCCTTTCACAGGTCCGTAAGTACCAGCAAGCTGTCAGATCAACCAACAAAGGCTGCCCTCAGCAGCCAGCTCTACCAGGGCAGCAATGACAGCCTTAACACCGAGCGACCGATGGATACAGGTAAGGCGAAGGGATGCGCGGGTGGTTTTTCGACCTTCTGCATGTAATGGGGAACAGGGAGGACCATAAGATACCTTATGTCAGGCCCAATAAATCAAGAACCAAGCGTAAATGGCTAGTTTTTTTTTATAATGAAAATTTTGGGGAAAAAAACTTTCACAAATATTTACTTCCCTCCCCCCCACCCTCAATTTTCCATTCCATTGCATTGTATTTTCTATTCTATTCTATCCTGTTCTATTCTCTTCTCTTCCCCTCCCTTCCATTCTATTATTCTATTCTATTCTATTCTGTATTCATATTCTATTCTATTCTACATTCTGCAACATATATCAGCTTCTCTTGAGATCTAACCGGCTAACCTTTCCTCCCCAGCTCCTCCAGGGGCCTGTGGCATCACCGGAGGACATCCGTCCATGCCAGTTGGAGCCAGTTCCAGGGCAGTGATGTTCACTGTAGGATCCCCTCCAAACAGTGCCACGCCTCCGACCTGCACCCACATGGTTCTCCGAGCTCGGACAATGTCAGGTGAGGAAGTGACCCGAGGGCCCTCGAGCAGATTCTCTCTGGAAAAAAGCCAGGCCGGGCGGGAGGGGGCTGAGTTTAGCCAACTCTCATCTCCAAGGAGACTTGGAAGCTGCCAAAGAAGGATCTCTGTGCGGATTCTCAGTCATCCAGGTCACAGTTGTCCCAAAGATGCTTTTGCCTTGAAAACCACACAGGAGAACCAACCCATTGGGCCAAAATTCAGAGGTCCATCTGCATCTGAAAGACAAGACAGCAAAGTCCACATTCTGGACAGAGAGGAACAGTGGTTTGAAGGAGGGATAATAGAATAGAAATAGAATAAGAGTAGAATAGAATTCTTATTAGCCAAGTGTGGTTGAATACACAAGGAATTTGTTTTTGGTGCAGATGCTTTCAGTATACATAAGAGAATAAAATACATTCATCAAGAATAATAGAATAGAATGGGAATAAAATAGAATAGAATTCTTTATTGGCCAAGTGTGATTGGACACAGAAGGAATTTGTCTTTGGTGCAGATGCTTTCAGTGTACAGAAGGAGAATAAAATACATTCATCAAGAATCCTAAGATACAACACTTAGTGATAATCCATAGGTTACTAATAAGCAATCAAATCGTACTAGGAACAAATAAACCAATATGAATTGCAAAGATACAAGCAACATGGTTATAGAATAGAATATGATAGAATAGAATGAGAATAGAATGAGAATAGAGAATAGAATTCAATTCTTTATTGGCCAAGTGTGTTTGGACACACAAGGAATTTGTCTTTGGAGCATATGCTCTCAGTGTACAGAAGGAGAATAAAATACATTCATCAAGAATCCTAAGATACAACACTTAGTGATAATCCATAGGTTACTAATAAGCAATCAAATCGTACTAGGAACAAATAAACCAATATGAATTGCAAAGATACAAGCAACATGGTTATAGAATAGAATATGATA